TTACAGATATCTTAGAAATTCCACCGTTCCATCGACACGCCGCAGTCGACGAATTCTCTCAAATGTCTTTAAAAGTCTGTTTAGGAAGGTAATGTAAGAGTCTCTGAGAAGAAAGGTCACATTGTGCAACTTCCGGTAATGGCCGTCGTCGAGGTCGACCAAAGCATACTTGTAATCGTGCACATCCGGATACTCGGAACATTTCTCAAGAAGACTGGAACGCTGGGATAGATAGCCGGACAGAATGTTATTGGTTTTCTGGCAAAACGATTCCAATCCCAATAGGGTTTCTAAAACATCGGCCTGTTGAGATGGTAAGAAAAGAAAAGGAAGTTAAAATAAATCTGTTTGAATGAGCAAATGAAAGAAAGAAAGTAAAGTCGGGTGGGAAAGAGAAAGAGAAGTATTTAATGGGAAACGAACCGACTAATATATATATATATATATATATATATATATATATATATGAAGGGAGAGAACGAATCAGAGAGAGAGGGAGGTGGTCGCAGAGAAACGTGGAGACGTGGAGACTGGGTCGCAGAGAACGAGACGTGGAGACTGGGTCGCAGAGAGAACGAGACGTGGAGACTGGGTCGCAGAGAACGAGACGTGGAGACTGGGTCGCAGAGAACGAGACGTGGAGACTGGGTCGCAGAGAACGAGACGTGGAGACTGGGTCGCAGAGAACGAGACAATGGAGACTGGGTCGCAGAGAACGAGACGTGGAGACTGGGTCGCAGAGAACGAGACGTGGAGACTGGGTCGCAGAGAAACGAGACGTCGGAGACTGGGTCGTCGCAGAGAACGAGACGTGGAGACTGGGTCGCAGAGAACGAGACGTGGAGACTGGGTCGCAGAGAACGAGACGTGGAGACTGGGTCGCAGAGAACGAGACGTGGAGACTGGGTCGCAGAGAACGAGACGTGGAGACTGGGTCGCAGAGAACGAGACGTGGAGACTGGGTCGCAGAGAACGAGACGTGGAGACTGGGTCGCAGAGAACGAGACGTGGAGACTGGGGTCGCAGAGAACGAACGTGGAGACGTCAAGAGAACGAGAGACTGGGTCGCAGAGAACGAGACGTGGAGACTGGGTCGCAGAGAACGAGACGTGGAGACTGGGTCGCAGAGAACGAGACGTGGAGACTGGGTCGCAGAGAACGAGACGAAAACAAGGAGAATTTTACCTGTAAAGTTGTCCGAAGTTCCAATGGACTGCCTTTTCTGGAACATAAATACAACATCCAGGACCTGACCAAAATGCAATGATCGGCCATATTTTGAATGAGGGGACTTATTTTGGTGTGAAGCGAGATTACGTCACTATTGTCCCAAAAAGGGAGAAGAGAATATTTGAACAACCCTAACTCGTCACTTCTCGGGTTGGACGTGGACGTGTGCGACAGCCATGGCGGAGAGAATGTCCTGAACACAGAATACTGTTTCCGCAAGAGCTTCCGCCGAGAAGGTTCCCGCGCCGTAGCATTTTTCAGTGACCTGAGCAGTTCGTCCAGCTCGGTGATTTGTCGGGGAAAGACGCAGGTAGCAAGTAGATGGGCATCACGCATCACACGAATTTTGTAGTCGACGGTTGTTTTTTCCAAAGATGGTAATCCGTCCTTTTTCACTATGGACTTCATTTCTTCAAAACGGAAAGAATTCTTTTGCCCCTACGAAAACAAAAAGAAATGCAAAAGAAACGGTTAGTGATAATTTGTTTTGTTTTGTTTTACGGTATATCGACCTCAATGAGTTATTTAATGCCAACAATATTTTTATTGCTGGTTATATTTTTTATCTACCTATCTATATCTTTATATCTGTCTTTATATCTGTCTTTATATCCATCTATCTTTATATCTGTCTTTATATCTATCTATCTTTATATCTGTCTTTATATCTATCTATCTTTCTTTATATCTATCTATCTATCTCAGTATATATTTGTCTGGTTTGTTTTGTTTTATGGCATATCAACCTCAATGGGTTATTTAATGCCGACAAGATTTTTATTACTGGTAATAATTTTTGTCGAATAATGTATTGCTGGTAATATTTATTTATTTTTTAAATGTATTACCGATGTTTTTTGTTCCGAAAATGTACTAATGGTAAGGCTTTTTTTTCCAAAAAAGTATTGCTGGCAATAATGTATTGCTGATATTAAAACCTATTTTTACACTTTTATAGTGTTTTGATCCCAGTTTGGAGGTTAACTATTTACCCATAGATGGGACCCTAACAGGTGCTACCATCCCAGGTCAAGGTGGGCCTGGGAATACCAGCGGTTAAGAGATTGTTCCACACTCAAAACCTCCTGATCAGAGACCTTTCTGCCGGATTTAGTTTATCATCTTACCCAGGATGCAGTGCAGTTTATCGTCATAGCCAGGATGGTGGTTAGTGCTAAGATTTTGTTTAAAAATAAAATTTTTATAATTGATAAATTAACTCAGCCAAACTCTCAAGTAAGTTTCTTTTATGTGTCGTGACCTTTCAGGACCTAGTCGATCATGGCTCTTCACTCCTTGTCCCTTGTAGCTCTTAAGGTCATTTTTTGTTCTCTTCTCAATCCTGTTCCGCCATACATTTGTCCAAGCTCATCAAGTATGTCACGAGCTACTTTCTCCCTCTCTCCTTCTTCCTCTAATTTGTCCTGTGAGTATCAAATTTTCCAAGCCCTCCTTCCTCATTACGTGTCCAAGAAATTTCAACTGCCTCTTCCTCATGTTAAGTTTCTTTTTTGTTTCCATTTTCTCTAAAACCTAGCCGTTACTCACATGTTCCGTCCACAGTATCCTCAGCAGCCTTCTGTAGAACTATATTTCTGTTGCTTTAAGTTTGTTCTTCATCTTTGAGGAGAGAATTTATTATTCGCTGCCATAGATGCAACTCAAATTGAAAAAGAAAAAAAAAAACAGCTTTTAATTTTTAGGATAATGTAAACAGTACAGGACAAAGGAGTACGTGAAGAAATGCATTGGACATCTCGAAGAAAGGGATTGTCAATGGTCATGAATTAATACAGACTTGACTGACAGAATGGGGATATTTGCATGTTTAAATTAATTTGTAAGATTTTACTATAGGAATGCATAGAAAAATCAGGAAGAAAGGGATTGTTAGTGGTCAGAAATTAATACGAGCATTACTGATAGAATAGGACTATTTTATGTAGAACTAGCAGCATGGCCCGGCGTTGCCCGTGCTCGATTCAAAAATCGTACGACTCATACAGCAATCACTATCACTTTTTTTGCCCTTCCTTATCTTTAAAGGAGTGCCCTTTGCCGTGCTGATGTTGCTACATGCCTTACTTCTTGCCTATCTCACACTGCGAATTTTTTTCTAAGCTCTATACTAAACATTAAATCTGTTACAAAAAAAAGAACTAAACAAAATGAACACAAAACGATCAGCTTTAAAAAAGGACTCGTAACTGGAAAAACCGAATGAAAAAAGAATGTTAACAACAAATACTTTTTCACATCCAACCCAGTTCTGCGGAATCAGAATCAACGTTGAGTTTAAGCAAGCGAATGAGCCAATTGGAGTACCATGCAGATTTAAATTTTTCTCACTTGTGACCGAATGCAGCTATCGATTTTTTTGCATGCTAGTTAACATTCGTGTCAGTCAGCTGTTGGCTCTCACGCTGGCGAATAGAATCTTCCTGCCTATTCGTGGCAGCCAGCTATTGGCTCTCACTCTGGTCAGTAGAAAATGGCCGCAAACTACATGAAAACTGCCGTATAAGCATGAAAAAATCGATTATTTCCACTATCGATGGGAGTTGGGAAATGCAAAGTCGGTCTTGGCGTTCCCGCTAACTTGGAGCATGTGCATGTTAATGTTGGTGCAAATCCGTCGAAAATTGCGGCCGTGCATTCTTTACACACACACAGCCTTTTATAGAGAGATACATAAACGCCTTGCTAATGATTTTAGTATAGGAATCCATTGAAAAATCAAGAAACAGATTGTCTGTGGTCAGGAATTAATTCAAACTTTGTTGATAGAATAGGATTTATACAGGCTGAAAGAATCTCCTAACAGTTTTTAATTGACGCTTTACAGTTGTTTTGTTGTTGCTGTAGTTGATCTTTTGAGGTTTTACGCTATCTCCATGTTCTTTTACTCTTTGCATATACCCAATCCGTCTTCGTAATTCAAATATGGTTTAAAATAAGATGAGAACTGCTTTCGAAATGGCAAACGGAATGCGTAATATTTTCAAAGCGGATATTAAAAGAAGCTGTCACTCTCAACTTGGTCTCACAAGTCATCACGAACGAGTTATATCCTTGAAGAGTTCACGCACAAGACAAGCTTTCGATAAAACATGGCGGCTAAACTTAGCCAACACTGGCTGAGATGATCCAACTTTGGTACAATCTCCTTTTTCTTTTCTCCTCCCCCCTCGTTATCAAACGGTAAACTTTTAGAATATATATATATATATATATATATATATATATATATATATATATATATATATATATGCGCGCTATTCTATTCGTTATATATATATATATATATATGAAGAAAAATGTACTGAAAAAACAAACAAAAATCCTAATATGCGATTATGCTGTTTTAATGTTTAATGTCAACGTCGGACGTTTCGTTCTAATAGACCATCTTCAGGACATATTCATAAAACATAATTAACATAGACCATATACAATTCAACATGAAAAAGACGACGGACATAAAAGCAATACCAATCCAAACAGATAACTGAAATCTTTTATAAGATCAGCGTTCCGTTTAAATATGATCACGTCGTCGTCACGTGGGCGATATGCGCTATTCCAAAAGTTTACCGTTTGATAACGAGGGGGAAGAAAAGAAAAGATATTATATATATATATATATATATATATATATATTAATTGATTTAATATGTTTTTTTTCGCTACACAGTTCTAACCATGTTTCAAAAATGGAATTTAAAAGCCCCGAATTTAATCTTGTGATTAAATTAAAGACACATTACTTCCATTTCATCCTCAAGCGAATTTTGGAGTAACTTTTTAAAATTACTGGCTTTTAAATACACAGCTAAAACAAAATTCATGTTTCCAAGGTTACAGATGAATCTATTTTTCTAGACAGGGGTGACTGGGTTTTCAATATGTCTATAATTTAATGTATCAGTTATTGCTACGTTTGGGTCGTGGGAAGGGATGTATTTTTTTCAATTAAAATTTATATATATATATATATATATATATATATATATATATATATATATATATTAATTCATTAAAAACAACTTACACAGTACAGCAGTTAAGCTTTTTATTAAATTTTTCTTGTGTTTGTATAAGTGTGTTTTCTTTTCAGGACAAAGCGTGCAAAAATTGTCCGAATGTTCTGTATATCCGAGCAGGATGAATTTTCCCCGTAGAAACAGAACAAGAAAATTAATTATCTACTATAAATTACTTATGAATTCCCATGTCTCTTAAGGAAGTGCATCCCTGATCAAAACAAATTTATAAATAATTATGTTGGATATACCACTACATGCTTATCAACAAGTTATATCTCTCTGACCTTAGATCATTTGGGTCTCATTCAAAATACACACGGAAACTTAGCAAAAATTCCATCCACAACATAATCGTAGAAAATACAACTGTAAAAGCCTCATCAAAAAAAAAAAAAAGGTTAAAAATAATTTAAGCATTCGTAATGAAAAAGAAAAATCCAACAGCTAACAGTGGCTATGAATACGGCCATAATCTGCTGACCGTGTTCGAAAAAAAAAAAAAAAAACCCAAAAAATCCCCGAAACAAAACTAAACAAAAACTCCGAAACTAAAACAACCTTTATAATGGCTAATAGAATAACGGAAAACGCTCGGACAGTTTTTTAAGGTTATGTCCAGAAAAGAAAACACTTATCTCTATCTATAAAAGGCAGGATGTGTGTGTGTGTGTGTGTGTGTGTGTGTGTGTGTAACGAATGCACGGCTGCAATTTTCGACGGATTTGCATCAAAATTTACATGTACATGCTCCAAGTTAGCGGCAATGCCAAGACCGTCTTTGCATCTCCCAACTCCCATCGACAGTGGAAGTTAATCGATTTTTTCATGCTTCTACGGCAGTTTCCATGTAGTTTGCGGCCATTTTCTACTGGCCAGAGTGAGAGACTATAGCTGGCTGCCACGAATAGACAGGAAGATTCTATTGGCCAGCGTGAGAGCCAACAGCTGACTGACACGAATGTTAACTAGCATGTTAGCATGCAAAAAAAAAAAAAAAAAAAAAAAAAAAAAATCGCTAGCTGCATTCGTCACAAGTGGGAAAATTTAAATCTGCATGGCAATTTTACTCCAATTGGCTCATTCGCTTGCTTAAACTCAACGTTGATTCTGATTCCGCAGAACTGGATTGGGTGTGAAAAGTATTTGTTGTTAACATTCTTTTTCATTCGGTTTTTCCAGTTACGAGTCCTTTTTTTAAAGCTGATCGTTTTGTGTTCATTTTGTTTAGTTCTTTTTTCGTAACAGATTTAATGTTTAGTATAGAGCTTAGAAAAAATTCGCAATGTGAGATAGGCAAGAAGTAAGGCATGTAGCAACATCAGCACAGCAACGGTCACTTCTTTAAAAGGCAAAGAATGGCAAAAATATTTTAAGTCAAGTGATAGCGATTGCTGATTTTTAAAATTAAGAACGCACATATACTAATATTATATATATATATATATATATACTACAGGTGAAATGAAAATCAATGTACGCTCTGCCCTTATTCAGGTAATATATGTTGGAATTTCGAACCGTTATTTCGTCCACATGGGTAGGTTATTCTAGTTCCACGTGCCATGCCGTTTCAGTGACCAGGTAATGAACTTAAAACTTTTTGGGTCAAGTGACTGGATTACTTTAACCAACGCCCAAACAACAGTGGATAAAAGTTGCAGTAAACCAGGACAATGTAAATAGTAAAAATACAAATTTAGAAAAATAAAATTACCAGCAATAGATTTTTGTAAAATAAATTACTAATGCTCGAAAGAAAATTTAATTTAAGGTGTTGATATGCAAATGTTAAATCTGTCTATCTCTCCGAGTTGATTATGAATTATGATTATTTACATTATTCGGACAGTTATCCTCATCTTCATTGCCATATTTACAACGGTACGGCCGTTCTACGCTCCGGCCTTCTTCAGGTCATTTGGTCTCTGAGATGAGATATTATGATTATTTACATTATTTGGACTTATCTTCGGCTTCATTGCCATATTCACAACGTTTCGGCCGTTGTACTCTCCAGCCTTCTTCATGTGATTGAATCTCTAAGATGAGGTATTATTATTACTTGCATTATTTAAATTATTCGGACTGTTATCCTCATCTTCATTGCCATATTCACAACGTTTCGGCCGTTGTACGCTCCGGCCTTCTTCAGGTGATTGGAACTTCGAACCGAACGTTTTATTTCGTCCACCGGTGTAGATTGTTCTAGTTCCACGTGCCAGATGTCTTAGTTATTTCCCTTTAGCTCAACTCTCCACGTTTTTTAGTTCACTACTGCTGTAGCCTGGTATTGAACTGACAACTCTTTGGAGTCCTTCTGAACAATTGCGTATGAATTTCTGGGACTTATAAATCTAATGTCTCAATATATTGCATTTTTTCCGTTATTATTATTATCAGATTTTTTTTTACCAGAGCTTACATTGCAATTTTTGTGTCATTATTCATTGTTTTTATCTAGCATTCATTATCCCATATCGTTTCCAGTTCTATGGTTGGGTGGCTAAGGAGATTTATGAAACTGGCAATGAAGATGAGCACAACAGTCCGAATAATGTAAATAAATGTTAAGGCATTAATGATTTTTTACGGCTTGTCAACCCTTTGCAGAAAATATTTTTAGATTCTAAGAATAATTTTGTGACACGAGTCTAACTAATTAACCCATAGCTAGAGGGAGAAGAGGTCGATTTATACCTTTAGCGCGTAAGTGAATATAACAAATCCAACTGGAATTGGAACTATGTTCATTACACCCCCTACACATCCAAGCTTACAGAACCTGGTACAACCGAGTGGTCACCCATCTAGGTACTGACCAGGCTCGGCATTGCTTAAGAAAGTAACGTCTCCCCACCCTGCTATATGTTAAATGGAAGCATAGATTGCCTTTTGTAACCTTGATTGGCAACCGGACAAAGATAACTATGAATTAAAAAACAACAACAAAACAACAAAATGGAGACTACAACAGGAAACTATTCCAATAGTCTTTCCAAAACGCATAAGAATTCAGATAAGAATCCTTGGAGAAATGCGGAGGACTACATTCCAAAAGGATATGGCATTTTATATATTTAGATATCTATGGAGTGAATGAGGAGCGAAGGAAGAAATCATTGGTATTTTTAAATTGAAATCCAGTTGCAACACGATTAAACTTAACAATGTAGCAAAACTAATTTTATAATAGAATATTGAAACGCATAGGAAATTCAGAATGAGGCTAACGTCTGCTTTCTTCAAAAGCAGGTTTTGAATTCGCGAATGCTTCATTGTGGCGAGAAATTTACTTGTTCTTATTTTCGTATTGCAGAATTTAAAATTTCACAATTTATTCGACAGTTACTACTTTAATGAAGGAGAGATAAGGATATTAGCGAAAACACGTCCTCGGATTTGAATTTTGGCCCATTTAATTATCGAAAGAATTGTAACGGAAATGTCAGGTTACTTACTGTCAGTGTTCGGAAGGGATTTTTTTTTAATGGACGGATTAGCTGGTTGTTTTACATGCGTATGATGAGCGAGAAAAAGAGTTGAAGAGGAAAACGACGACAGGGAGTGGGGGATACAGTCAAAAGAGAAGAGAAATTAGAAGAACAAGGGGAGGTAATCAAGAGAAACAAAACAGGGAATAGAGTGCAGTAAGAAAAGAGGATATTTTAGGAAGGAATTGAGGAAACGGTGGAAAATCGCAAAGAAAATGTGGATGCCAGATAAATCGAGAGAGAGACAGACAGAGAGTGGAAGAGGGGGAGGGAGAGGAAGTGGTTCTCGATAAATAAACGAGAGCGAATGAGAAGTAGAACAATATAGACAAGAGACGGAGAGACTGAAATAAATAGGAGGGAAGAGAGAGATGATTAAAATAAATTAGCCGCGAGAGTGTGGGGAGAGGTAAAAAGCAATTTCATTTCCCCCTCCCACCAGGGGGAAATGAGGTCAAAAGTAAAAAAAGAAAGGAAGGAAGGAGAACAAAAAAAGGAAGGAGGAGGGAAAGAAAAGAGAAAGAGAGAAAAGAGAAAGAGAGAAAAGAGAAAGAGAGAAAAGAGAAAGAGAGAAAAGAGAAAGAGAGAAAAGAGAAAGAGAGAAAAGAGAAAGAGAGAAAAGAGAAAAGAGAAAAAAGAGAGAAAAGAGAAAGAGAGAAAGATAATATCAAAAAGCAGAAGGTTCTGACTGCCGGGAAGGAGCATGCGCAGTGTAGCGAGGAAAGAAGGAAGGAAGCAAACGAGGTTAAAAAAAAAAAAAAAAGATGGAAGCAAACGATGTTAAAAAAAAAAAAAAAGATGGAAGCAAACGAGGTGGAAGCAAAAAAAAAAAAGATGGAAGCAAACGAGGTAAAAAAAAAAAAAGATGGAAGCAAACGAGCAAACGAGCAAAAAAAAAAAGATGGAAGCAAACGAGGTAAAAAAAAAAAAAGATGGAAGCAAACGAGGTAAAAAAAAAAAAGATGGAAGCAAACGAGGTAAAAAAAAAAGATGGAAGCAAACGAGGTAAAAAAAAAGATGGAAGCAAACGAGGTGAAAAAAAAAAAGATGGAAGCAAACGAGGAAAAAAAAAAAAAAGATGGAAGCATACGAGGTTGAAAAAAAAAAAGATGGAAGCATACGAGGTTGAAAAAAAAAAAAAAAAATGGAAGCATACGAGGTTGAAAAAAAAAAAGATGGAAGCATACGAGGTTGAAAAAAAAGATGGAAGCATACGAGGTTGAAAAAAAAGATGGAAGCATACGAGGTTGAAAAAAAAAAAAAAGATGGAAGCATACGAGGTTGAAAAAAAAAAAAAGATGGAAGCAAACGAGGTTGAAAAAAAAAAGATGGAAGCAAACGAGGTTGAAAAAAAAAAAGATGGAAGCAAACGAGGTTGAAAAAAAAAAAAAGATGGAAGCAAACGAGGTTGAAAAAAAAAAAAAAAGATGGAAGCAAACGAGGTTGAAAAAACAAAAAAAAGATGGAAGCAAACGAGGTTGAAAAAACAAAAAAAAAGATGGAAGCAAACGAGGTTGAAAAAAAAGATGGAAGCAAACGAGGTTGAAAAAAAAGATGGAAGCAAACGAGGTTGAAAAAAAAGATGGAAGCAAACGAGGTTGAAAAAAAAGATGGAAGCAAACGAGGTTGAAAAAAAGATGGAAGCAAACGAGGTTGAAAAAAGATGGAAGCAAACGAGGTTGAAAAAAGATGGAAGCAAACGAGGTTGAAAAAAAGATGGAAGCAAACGAGGTTGAAAAAAAGATGGAAGCAAACGAGGTTGAAAAAGATGGAAGCAAACGAGGTTGAAAAAAAAGATGGAAGCAAACGAGGTTGAAAAAAAAGATGAGAGCAAACGAGGTTAAAAAAAAAGATGGAAGCAAACGAGGTTGAAAAAAAAAAAAAGATGGAAGCAAACGACGTTGAAAAAAAAAATCGATGATTTAATATATTTGACGCTTTAATAACGTATTGACTTGATAATGAAAAATGGGAGGTCGAGGTATAGTCGGTAGATATATGCATAGCAAAAAATAGAAAGGCGTCTACGAAGTTTGGAAGTAGTTTGTCGGTGTTGGCATCGTGTTGGAAAGGACAGACACTTCGAAAATACGTGTGCAAAAAGGAAAAAAAAACCACTCGCATATTGAGCACATCCTTGTGGCAAAGTTTTTCTTTAAAAGTTCACCTGGCTTCCATTTTCCTTTGTCCATCATTCCTATCCCACTCACACAATTATCTTTTGCTCAATAGCCAACAATGTTTTCGTACTCCGAGCACATGTGCCTTTCTCTTCACCAGCATTTGAAGCGCGCTTTTGTGAATTTAACATTCTTAAAAAAAAAAAAAAAAAAAAAAATACATAACTCCCATTAAAAAGAGAAAGGAAAAGAGAAAAATTGATTTGCTCCTCAGCCAATGTCTTCAGGTTCATTAAACAGCAGTTGATGATTCAGTTTAGAAAATGTGTGCGAGAGAGAGAAAAGAAAGCCACAAGGAGAGACAGAGAGAGAGAGGAAAGCGAGAAAAAGAGACAGAGAGAGAGAGGAAAGCGAGAGAAAGGAAAGCGAGAAAGGAAAGCGAGAGCGAGAAAGAGAGAGAGAGGAAAGAGAAAGAGAGAGAGAGAGGAAAGAGAAAGAGAGAGAGGGAAAGGAGAAAGAGAGGAAAGAGAGAGAGAGGAAGGAGAGAGAGAGGAAAGAGAGAGAGAGGAAAGGAGAGAGAGAGGAAAGGAGAGAGAGAGGAAAGGAGAAAGAGAGGAAGGAAAGAGAGAAAGAGAGAGAGAGAGAGGAAAAAGAGAGGAAAGAGAGAGAGAGAGGAAAGCGAGAAAGAGAGAGAGAGAGAGTGTAAGGAAAGCGAGAAAGAGAGGAAAGCGAGAAAGAGAGGAAAGCGAGAAAGAGAGGAAAGCGAGAAAGAGAGGAAAGCGAGAAAGAGAGGAAAGCGAGAAAGAGAGGAAAGCGAGAAAGAGAGAAAGGAGAAAAGAGGAGAAAGAGAGAGAGGAAAGCGAGAAGAGAGGTAAGGAAAGGAGAAAGAGAGAGAGAGGTAAGGAAAAAGAGAGAAAGAGAGAGAGAGTAAGGAAAGGAGAAAAGAGAGAGTAAGGAAAAGGAGAAAGAGTAAGGAAAGGAGAAAGAGAGAGAGGTAAGGAAAGGAGAAAGAGAGAGAGTGTAAGGAAAGGAGAAAGAGAGAGAGTGTAAGGAAAGGAGAAAGAGAGAGAGTGTAAGGAAAGGAGAAAGAGAGAGAGTGTAAGGGAAAGGAGAAAGAGAGAGAGTAAGGAAAGGAGAAAGAGAGAGAGTGTAAGGAAAGCGAGAAAGAGAGAGAGTGTAAGGAAAGCGAGAAAGAGAGAGAGTGTAAGGAAAGCGAGAAAGAGAGAGAGTGTAAGGAAAGCGAGAAAGAGAGAGAGTGTAAGGAAAGCGAGAAAGAGAGAGAGTGTAAGGAAAGGAGAAAGAGAGAGAGTAAGGAAAGCGAGAAAGAGAGAGGTAAGGAAAGGAGAAAGAGAGAGAGTGTAAGGAAAGGAGAAAGAGAGAGAGTAAGGAAAGCGAGAAAGAGAGAAGTGTAAGGAAAGGAAAGAGAGAGAGGTAAGGAAAGCGAGAAAGAGAGAGAGTGTAAGGAAAGGAGAAAGAGAGAGAGTAAGGAAAGCGAGAAAAGAGAGAGAGGTAAGGAAAGGAGAAAGAGAGAGAGGTAAGGAAAAAGGAGAAAGAGAGAGAGGTAAGGAAAGGAGAAAAGAGAGAGAGTGTAAGGAAAGGAGAAAGAGAGAGAGTGTAAGGAAAGGAGAAAGAGAGAGAGTGTAAGGAAAGGAGAAAGAGAGAGAGGTAAGGAAAGGAGAAAGAGAGAGAGTGTAAGGAAAGGAGAAAAGAGAGAGTGTAAGGAAAGCGAGAAAGAGAGAGAGAGTAAGGAAAGCGAGAAAAGAGAGAGAGGAAAAGAAAAGAGAGAGAAAGAGAGAGAGAGAGGTAAAAGGCGAGAAAGAGAGAGTAAGGAAAGCGAGAAAGAGAGAGAGTAAGGAAAGAGAAAGAGAGAGAGAGTAAGGAAAGCGAGAAAGAGAGAGTAAGGAAAGCGAGAAAGAGAGAGAGAGTAAGGAAAGCGAGAAAGAGAGAGAGAGTAAGGAAAGCGAGAAAGAGAGAGAGAGTAAGGAAAGCGAGAAAGAGAGAGAGAGTAAGGAAAGCGAGAAAGAGAGAGAGAGTAAGGAAAGCGAGAAAGAGAGAGAGAGTAAGGAAAGCGAGAAAGAGAGAGTAAGGAAAGCGAGAAAGAGAGAGAGAGAGGAAACCGACAAGGAGAGAGAAAAAAAAAATCAGATACACACCAGAGAAAGGGAGGAAGAAAAGAGCGAGAAACGGTAGAAAAAAAATATGAAGTAACAAAATGCACTGAAACCAATAGTGGAGCATAGAAAAAGAAAAAGCAATGAGAAAAGAAGATGCAATTCACAGAAATGGTAAAAAAAATGAAGAGAAACAGAAATAAGAGGAGGAGGAGGATGTGCTAAATAAATTAGAAAGAATATTTCTAGAATTGCCGAAGCGAGAGAGAGAGAGAAATAAGAAAATCAATCAAGTACTAATGTCGAGCAAAAAAAAAAAAAAAAAAAAAAATAAAAAAGCGAAAACCCAATAAAAAAATATGAACTAATTTACATAGGAAAAAATACCAAAGCAGCTTGCATGTTGCCTATAGCTATTTTTCATTGTGCGTACACAACACCAATATCTAATTTCGCAGTCATATATATATATATATATATATATACAAAATGAAGGGAATATCCATATGCCAAACTAATGCTGATGTAAAAAAAAAAAAAATTGTCCTTCCCCTTCAGGTAGTAAACAGAATCTGATGACTATAAAACCTGCAAATCTTACAAAAGAATAAAAACAAACACCAAAATTTGAAGGAAAGAACATAGAATTTAAACAAAACTTAATGGAATTTCTTTTCATTTTACACTTGTATATGTTATAAATGATTTTTACTGTTATCAAATATATATATATATATATATATATATATATATATATAAGAAGTTCATTACTTATCAAAGACCGATTTAAAGTTCCGCGAGTCAGAGTTTACTCAAGAATATTGCGTTATTCGCTGGATATGTTTTTATAAATGCTCATTATATATGCTAATGAGATCCTACTAAACTTGTGACTTCATTATAAGTGAAAACTTAAATAATCGATTTCTTATAGTTCATTTTATATATATTACTTTCACTTACGTGATAAGACCCTTGGGAAAAGCATGAATCCTCTTCTAAAGCCCCCTCCCCCAGTTATGGGTAAATAGCAGGACAAACTGGGTTCTATAGCCTCGGATGGTAACTGGTCTAGAAGAAGTACAACTCTGGATTCAAAACCTGCAGAGGGTTGTTTGGTGGACACTGTGGCACGTAGTGCACCAAGTTTCTGTATTCGGCCCTTCAAAAAGGGTGGATGGTTCTGCATAAAGCCTTCGCTATTATAATCAAATCATATTTGCTGATGTGTGACTGTCTGTTCCTAGGAACAGAGTTGCTTTACCCTCATATGTTGTAGGCGCGCGGATCAACACCCTGCGTCGATCAACGACGAGAGAGTCCAGGATTATATATATATATATATATATATACTGAAAATATACTGAAAAAAAACAAACAAAAATCCTAATATGCGATTATGCTGTTTTAATGTTTAATGTCAACGTCGGGCGTTTCAGTCTAATAGACCATCTTCTGGACATATTCATAAAACATAATGAACATAGACCATATACAATTCAACATGAAAAAGACGATGGACATAAAAGCAATACCAATCCAAACAGATAACTGAAATCTTTTATAAGATCAGCGTTCTGTTTCAATATGATCACGTCGTCGTCACGGGGGCGATGTTGTGAAAACGTATTCCTAAAATTTGAGTATTTTGAATGAAAAACGAAAAGAATTTTATTTTGATCTAAAACTTATATGTACGTTTGTCGAGCATTAATCTTGCTAGAAAAGGGGAAATATTAAAGAAGCCGGGTCTAGTGTTCATAAATCCGCCTAATATATATGTATATGGTCTATGTTAATTATGTTTTATGAATATGTCCTGAAGATGGTCTATTAGACCGAAACGTCCGACGTTGA